AGATAAAATATGAAATAATTTTTTGAATATTGGAAAAGAAAAACCCAAGTAAAATATAATATATAAAAGTCTTTAAAATAACTAATATGACTATATACAAATATGAATTATCTGTTGGTAAAAGGTAATATAAATGAAAGTCAATAAATAGACACCCAAATGGGAAAATATTTCTACCACAGATATAAGACAAATCGATGCTTCCTTTTAGATAGATGACAATAACTTGGAGAGCTAGAGAGCTCTTATAGTTCAATACCAAGACCAGCTGTTTCGTAGCAAAACTGACAAAGCACATGAGCAGAAAATTCACTGACAAAGACATAAAAGTGACTTACAAAAATTGCTCAATCTCAGAGAAAATAAAATTTATTTATAAAGATAATGAATACTAGAAAAATATCTATGAATCATATATGTTGTATTAATGGTTAAAGATTCTTTAGAAGTGCATGTGGCAATATTCTTCAAAATCTGACCTCTACTCTTGGGAATTTATTCTAGAGATAAATCTGTGCAACTATGGCATGCAAATAGAAGCATTTAAGAAAATGAAAAGATATAAAAGAAAAGGCATTAAGAAAAGATATAAAAGTCTGTAGAAATCCAAAATGTTCATCAGTATAAGACTGGATAAATGATTGGACTTCAATCATACAAATGAAACTTATGCAGCTATTTATAAAATTAGGTAGATCAAAATGTGCAAACTTGGACAATCTCCAACAATAAATAAGTTAAAATTTCAACGTGTGGAATAGTGAATATAGTGTGTTATTGTGCAGAGGAAAAAATGTATGCATGTAAGTGTGTCTATGCACAGAATGTGTCTGAAAAGAGCTGCAAAATACCATTAATCAAGATTGACCGAGAATGAGAGTGGAACATAAGACACAGTGAAAATGATACTAATCATGTTCGCTTTTAATGATTAGCCTGTATGTGGATCACCTTACTATGACCAAACAGTACAACAGTTTAAATTGGTCAATGAATGGGAACAAATTCAGAACTGACTGTGTATCTAAATAAAATGATCTTCCAAGTGTTGAAGTACTCACTCATTACAGCAGGTGGCAGTGCTCTACTCTATTTGACTTTATCACGGGGGGCCCTGGAGAAATGTGAAAGTCAAAGAGCTCACTCTACAAAGTGGAAAGTGAAGCTCTGGGCCTTAGGACTTCTGGTCTAAAGGGAACAGTTTGCTCATGTTTGAAATACGTTTAGATTTGGAATTCGGGGCTGAAAGGAACCTTAATAATTATTTAGCTCAAGAATCTTGTTTTAACCTCTAATATTTGAGGAAGAAGAACAGTGAATTAGCTAATTTTTCTAGCAGATACTTAGTAGCAGAGCCAGACAGAACCTAGGCCTCCCAACTATTTTTCCCAAAAAGAGAGTGTGACTGATGTCAGCAACCAGTTTATGGTTCTTACTTTTTTAAATTTCAGTTTTCATCAATCTGGCTCAGCCCGCATATTTCAAAAAGCCCTATGCTAGCTTATATATGTATACAATTTTTGTGGCCCGTATAAACCTTTCCTTGTAGCTTTTTTATAAAACCTAAGTCTTTTTCTTCCCCCCTTTAAAACAATTCAGTGTCATATTTGCTTAGTCCCCATCATATTTGTTTTCTGATGTTCAGTCTTATGTGGTCATTTTTTCTCTTGTGCTAAATATTGGTCTTATTGATTATTCTTCCGTGTGTGTGTTTTCCCTCAACTTCTTCAATTATTGAGAAAATACTCTTTCTCCTCCCTTCAGTGTAGGGCAATTCTTGCTTTACTCACAGTAGGGGTCAACCGCACAGTGGCAATTGTTAAAACGACTGTGCATATTTGTCTAGGGTGGGGAATCTGGAAGAGCGTTTTCTCCAAGACCGTTGTCTCTCTGTAGTGCTACTGAGGTCTACTGAGAATGGGCGTCAGTGTCTAGATCACCGGCACCATTAATCTCATCTTCTACCCAAAGAGCAAACAGGAAAGGGGTGGAAGATGAGGAAGTACCTACCCCTGCCTGCTTCTCTCCCTCCCTCCCTGACCTCCTCCTACTCCAGTCAGAGAGGGCAGCAAAGGCCAGGGAGTGACACAGGCTACCAAGGGAGGTTGACTGGGTGAGGCAATGGCAGTAATGATGTTTGGTTGGCCCTATATTCTTGGCATTGCTTCAGTCCGACACTTACATCCTGAAGCCTTTGACATTCTCTGTAATTGGAGAAGTATTTAAGTGGGTTAGGTCTGGAGTAGTGAGGTAGGCATATTTTGCCAGTCAACAAAGCAGTGTGAGTCAGAACTCATGAAGGTTAGCCCCTGTTCGCACAGATATTATTTGTGTTAATGGGAGCAAGTAGAATGAGTTAAACTGGTCACTGGGTGAATTAGTTAATTCTTAATTTGTAAAATGTGAGCTTGGAGTACATCCGAGTTTTTAAACTGGCACAAACAAAAGAATCATCTGGAACCTTTATTTAGAAGATTGGTTACAAGTTCTCTCCCTTGGAAACTCTTATTCAGAAAATCTGGAGTGGCGCCCAAATTTTGTGTGTTTTTAAAAAGAGATCCTCAAGCCGGGCTCGGTGGCTCAGCCTGTAATCCCGCGCCTTTGGGAGGCTGAGGTGAGTGGATTGCCTGAGCCCGCGGGTTCGAGACCCGCCTGGGCAGTGAGACCTCATCTCTACAATAAATCAAAAAATCAGCTGGGCGTGGTGGCGCATGCCTGTAATTCCAGCTACTCGGAAGGCTGAGGCGGAAGGATCGCCGGAGCCCAGCAGGTCGAGGCTGAGGTGGCTGGGAGCGGCCACTGCACTCCAGTCTGGGCAACCGAGGGAGACTCCAACTCAAAAAAAAAAAAAAGAGATCCTCAATGGTTCTTATTACCAGAAAAGTGTCTGAAGATTTTTAAAAATTCTCCAAACCCCAAGATGTTGTGATAAATTATTTCTGCTACTGTTCTCTTCTGCCTGTTTTGTTCTTCCACTCTACCGTCTTCCTTTCTCCACCCTTTCTGAAAGGTTTTGTATCAGAATCACCTTTGGAGGTTTTAAACATATACATGCTGTTTTCTAACTTTAAAAAAGTCACTGACAGCCGGGCTCGGTGGCTCAGACTGTAATCCCGCGCCTTTGGGAGGCTGAGGTGAGTGGATTGCCTTAGCCCGCGGGTTCGAGACCCGCCTGGGCAGCGAGACCTCATCTCTACCATCAAAAAATCAGCCGGGCGTGGTAGCACGTGCCTGTAATTCCGGCTACTCGTAAGGCTGAGGCAGAAGGATCGCCGGAGCCCAGCAGTCGAGGCTGCGGTGGCCGGGAGCGGCCACTGCACTCCAGTCTGGGCGACAGAGTGAGACTCCAACTCAAAAAAAAAAAAAAAAGTCACTGACAAATAATATCTGCTTTTCAATAGTACTGCTGTTCTGGACATTTCTCTTTGCCATACTACATCCACTCTCCACCTGCTCTTTGCTATAGAAAGTGAACTTTAGCGACTGCATCAATGATACTCTTTACCTTCCAACTTCTAGATGGGCTTAGCCACTGGGAGGAGTCAACAAGGGAATGGAGAATGGGAGTACAACACTGGCATCTTTATTAGCTTTACCCCTGATTACTTATAGGATCACTATTGAGTTGCCTGTGTCCCTCTACTGTGTCCCAAAGCCTGGTCAGGGGGCTTCTCTTATCATTAGAGCTGATCCTTCAACGTTCCTTCAGGCCTGCAGTTGGCAATGACTCCCCTGCTAATGCTAGCCCCCAGTTACTGTACAAGCCTTTGTAGATACCCTTGAGCTCTTCCCAAACTTTTGTAAATAGTCCCTTTGTTAAATCTTCCTCAGTTTTCCTGCTTGATTTTGTTATCTCTTTCCTGTGAGGACTGTGATAGGAATAATGACTTACCTTTATGTTTTTTATTTGTTATCTATACATTAACAGGTTTCTTTTTTATTATTAGAAATAATAAAAGTGATAGAATTTAGGAGTAGAAATAATAGAATACTAGAGTTTGGATGGGCTCTAAATTGTATCTACTCCAACTTACCACTAAATGCTGGAACTCAACATGAAAGCGATCTGTTTTATCCAACTTTATCATTACAACTTTCTGAATACTTACTGGCAATGGTCATTTTCTCCTCGCAGCAAAATAGTATCAGTTTCTTCAACAGTTTCTTGTGCAGCATGGTTTCTAGATCCTTGTTCATCCTGGCCACTGGATATGTTCCTTTGAGTGCATTCTGTTTTGTCAATGTCATTGTTTCATGTTAAGAGGAACACTGGCAAAGGAAGCCAAATGTGGACCAAAGTCTCACCCAGATGGAAAAGACAGAGCTCCCTGACTGAAAGATGCCTGAGAAGAACCAGCATAGGCTAAAGGCACTGGCTGTCGGATGGAACAGCTGACTTGAAGGGTCAGGACCAGCTTTGGCAGGAGGGAAACAGGTACATGGATGGAGGTAGGAGTTTCTGCTGAAGGAGGAAACACACATTTCCACTGAGCCCCCTTGCATATCATGCTTCTAACTCATGCATTTATACCTTACTTTTACTTTTACACTTCTGATTTTTCTGGCCACACACTAATATGATCACTTGTTAACACAGAGCCTGCAGCAGACGAAACTCTCTTGAGTCTTGCACCTCTACTTCTCACACTGAAACTGTGAGGAACTCAAATTCGCAAGGTTAACACTACCATGAACCTTAGAATCTCTACTTTGAGAAAACTGGAGGGTCCAAAAGGTGAGGCATTTGCCCAAAATTGCAGAGCAGTTTTCTGGTAGAGACAGGACTAGAGCCCAAATCTCTTTCTACCCTATCATCCTGCCTCTCTTTTCCGTTAATTTACTCCATTCTTTTACCACAGCTTACAACACTGAAGTTAAGAAATTCACACTGTTAGTACCAATGCATCCAAGTCAGATAGAGGCAGCATTTGCATTGCACAATTGCCTTGAAAGTATTGGGAAAAGATAGCGAGCGATGGGCACATTACATTTGACACAACTTTAGGGGTGAGGCAAACCTTCATTTTATTTAAAGGATCAATGATCTTTTTGCACCTGATTAGAAACTTTACAGCATACAAGTCTTTTCCATTGAATTTCTTTTTAAAAAATTTTACTGATTTATTTTCTCTTTATTTCTCTAAAGAATCCATTGACAGTTCAAAGGTGATTGATTATAGATGCACAAAAGGCCAGCCAAAGTTTGTACAAATAACCTGTGACTCTCTTCTTAAGCCATTGGATGGAATAATTTCATTGACGGAATGCTGTGAAGGGGACTCTTCCTGAAGCGGGACACTGAAAAGAAGGCTCACATCATCAAAATTCTGAGTTTAAATCTTCAGTTTTCCATGGGCTTAGAACTATGCCATTTTGAACTACATAGGACATCTGGGATAATCTAGTTTAATGAAATTTGGACCCAGAAAGTACATGACTTTACAAAGCAGAATTTGGACTTGAATCTTAACCCTATGCTCTTTTGTATGCACTGTGTTTGTTTCCTATATGACTGAGACTTTTTTTAACTGGCTCTCAGAACAGGGCATCAGATATTTACATATGGCATTGAATACATTTTCACCATAAGATTCAAAGTAAATATCTTCTTTAATAAATAAGGAGAGAGGAATGACATAAATGTTACCTTAAATGTCTGTTACTAGCATAATGAATGCCTAGCAAAAATAGGGTCTAAGCACTTACACATAAACAAAAATAGAGAAATACTGATGACTTCTAATCAGGTAATTGAAAAGAGTGGTAAAGTTTGAAATGCTTCGACCAAAATAAGTCTTTAATCAACTATTCTGAGCTGAGCTACACGGCAAGAAAGATTCTGATGCTAAGAGAACTCTTGATGGTAATTGATGTTTTAAAATGACCTTGTAAGTCAAAGAAACCACTTCTGAATAACTGAATGTCAAAACTCTGGCAGATCAATAGGGCAAAATTGATGAAAGTTACAGTGGATGTTGTTGAGAGTGGTAGAACATCTGATGCTTCAGATAATCCCAAACTGGGCAAGTTCATGCAATTCCAGGTGGCTGAATGCCTCCCAGGGACAAATCACCGTGATATCTGCAAGACACAGAAGAACACGTAAGCCAACCTCATCCCAAGGAGAGCCTCTTCTGCTGAAAAAGACACTCTTTAAGCAGAGACACCTCATTCCTCTCTCTGATTCATTGCCCGGTTCCTGGGAAGTTAAGTAGATTGGCCCTGCAGCCCAGGAAGGATCAGACCAATTACTTAATTTTTGCCCCCTTCCTCCACCCCTTCATGCCCCAGACATCTTCATTAGTTTCATTCTGCATCCTCTTTGGGGAGGTTACCCATGGCTTTTGACTGTGAATTCCCTGTAGATACAGTCCACTGTTTACATAGAGACTCCCCAAAGCACAACCACTTGGAAAGAAACAGAAGTGGAATTTTAGTCAGGCTAAGGGCTAAAATTAGAAATAGGAGCAGTTTAAACCCCCATGGTCTGGGCTTCCACAGTTTTCTTCCTTCCTACCAATCCAGATAGGTTCCTTGGACTTCTCTAACTGCTCTTTCATAACTTCACATTTTGAAATGCCTGTATCCAACTGCACATTGAGAAGTAATCAAAAGTCATCATCTAAACCAGGCCTATATTTCAGACAATAAGATGTTGTTCTCCCCATTACAGAGAAAGAAGCTGACATCTAGAGAGATGAAACAACTCTCAAAACACCACACAGCTGTAGAAGTAGGATTAAAAAGCAGGTCAAAAGACCTAGACCCTCCCTCAGTATAAACCTCTTTGCCTTATTCCAAATCTTCCAGATCCCAATGTGAATTTGCTGGTCTTGTATGCACCTGACCAAAATACAGAAGCAAATAATCCAGGAGAATAGCAAATGAGCTTTCTAAAGTAGCTGGAAAATTTATTTGAGATCCTGGAAGGGGCATTTGACAATAAAAAGCAGATACCCCAAGGATTGTCTGGTAAGGACAAATTATTACAAGTACCTTTTATCAAAAATGTGTTGGATGAGTTGAAAACTTGTGTCCACACAAAAGCCTGCACACAAATCTTTATAACAGCTTTATTTATTCTTGCCAAAACTTGGAGGCAACCAAGATATCCTTCAGTAGGATAAACTAACTGTGGTATATTCCTACAATGAAATTTATTCAACGATAAAAAGAAATGAGCTATTAAGCTATGTAAAGACATGAAGAAACCTTAAATAAGTATTGTTAAATGAAAAAAGGCCAGTTCTGAAAAGCTATATGCTGCATGATTCTAACTTTATGACATCCTGGAAGAAGCAAAACTATAGAGACAGTAAAAAGATGAGTAGTTATCAGAGGTTTAGGGGGAGGGAAGTTTGACCAGGTAGAGCACAGGGTATTTTCAGAGCAGTGAAGTGATTCTGTATGATCCTATAATGGTGGATACATGGAGTTATGTATTTATCAAAACCTTTAGAACTGTACAACACAAAGAATCAACTCTAGTGTAATTTATAGACTGTAGTTAATACAAGAAAATATATCGATATTGGCTTATCAAATGTAACATGTATCACATTAACACAAGATGCTAATAATAGAGGAAACTGTACAAAGGAAGGGAGGTGGTAGAGGGGGTATATAGGACTTTTTTCTGCTTAATTTTTCTGTAAATCTTAAACTTCTCTAAGAAATAGAGTTTATTAATTTAAAAAAATCACCGATTGCATGTATGATCTGATAAATATAAATAATATAGCCAATTTAAAAAATTGTATTGCATGTCTTCAGTGTGTAGGACCCTGCTCTGTATGCTAGAGGATATGCAAAAAGAGGAAGCTGGTAAGGGAGTGGTTTGGTTGGTCTAGTGGGGCGATGTCCAGGCCCCACCCTTATTTCCAATAGCTCACTCTGTGGCCTCGGATTGTCAATTCCTCTATGTCTCAGATTTCTCTCCTAAGAAAATGAAGTTGAGCTAGATGTACTCTGAGTATCTACCTTAAAGATCTATATTTTGCCATGATATGCCCCTAAAAGTTTTTTAATAAAACAAGATTTGTTTCACTTTGGTCTTACCCTAATTTATTTTAGGGTTTTTGTATCTAGACACATGTACTTACTTAGAAGGTTAATTAAATCCTCACATTTCTATATCTTCAAAGATCTGCTGCCTTAGATAATTTCTCATCACTTTCATCTGTCCCTTGAGGCCTGGAGTATATAAAAAGTGGAACTCAAAGTGCTAAGTTCTCATTTATATCAGTGGGTGACTCACCTGTTCCCAGCCCCTCCATGCCTGGAATGTCATCTCCAAACCTATAGGAAAAAATAAAAGGGAAATTAGCTAAGATCAGAGCAAAGGGATCCTGGAATTACTCGCATGCAGAGTTTCTTGACTCAATGGAAAAAAAGAAGAGGTTTAAGTGTTTGTATTTGCGAAACTCTTTTTATTTGCATTGAACTGGGGCAAAGAAAATGTCACTCAGGGCCAGGACAGTGACTCAGTCTGCAATCCCTGCACTTTGGGAGGCCAAGGCAAGAGGATTGCTTGAGTCCAGGGGTTTGAGAACAGCCTGGGCAGCTTGGTGAGACTTCGTTTCTACAATAAATCACAAAAATTTGCGTGATGGTGTGCATCTGTAGTTCCAGCTATTTGGAAAACTGAGGCAGAAGGATTGCCTAAGCCCAGCAGGTTGAGGCTGTGGTGGCCGTGAACATGCCACTGCACTCCAGCCTAGGCGACAGAGTGAGACTCCAACTCAAAAAAAAGGAAAAGAAATAAAATGTCACTCAAGCAGGTTTTAGTGTATCCCAGAGGAGAAGTATTTCTCTCCTGCAGAAACATAACCTTAAAATAATCCATTGAAAAGCCAGGTGCAGTGGCTCATGCCCTAAACCCTAGCACTTTGAAAGACTGAGGTGGGAAGTTTGCTTTGGCCCAGGAGTTTGAGACCAGCTTGGGCAACATATTGAGACCTCGTCTCTAACAAAAAAATTTTAATTAGCCAGGAATGGTGGTGCATGACTATGGTCACAGTTTCTTGAGAGGCTGAGCTGGGAGAAGCACTTGAACCTAAGAGGAGGAGGCTGCAAGAGCTGGAGAAAAAAAAATTATCTAAGTAGTCTTAATCTCAGGGAAAATGTAAATAAATAAATGTAATATAAAATAAGTTATGATAGCTGAATGTACAAAATTCAAACATGAACATACTGATAAAATTTATTAAGGACAGTCAGTAGTGGCTTCAAAAAGGATTTAGCATGGGAGTTGTGTGTTGAAAAATGAATAGGATTTCACCAAGAAGAGGAAGAGAAAAATGAAGAACTGAGGACATAAGATTTGAAGTCATAAAAATAAACTATGTTTTCTGGAAATGGCTAGTGGTTCAGTGTTCCAGATTAAAGCACAGGTTATGTTGGTGAGTGGCCACAAAGGGCTAGAAAGCCAAAAAATTGAGGATTAGGTGGCAACTTTTATAAGTTTAATATTGTAAACACTAATTTCTCAAAACCAAAGCGGTTTCTTGAGGAAAAAGTATAATAGAAAGTTTTCTTTTTCATTTTGGTCTTACCCTTTCACACCTTTCTTAGGAGGTTTACTCTTGAATTGGCGAGTCTGCCTCTGCTTGAACTTGGGGGGGCCTTTGCGTGGAGTTGTCGGCCCCTGGCTTGAAGTTGGAGGGACCAAAACAGTGCTGTCACTCATTTTGACAGTCCTTGAGTGGCTGGCGTTTCCCTCTCAGGCTCCTTAGACAGTGAGAGAAAAAAATGAGACCCTTTAAGTCACAGGGATCATTGGTTATGAGCTCTTTCCTCTAGACTGGGGAAGAAAAGTACTTTGATAAAGAAGCTCAGTATTTTGTGTTGTCACAAAAGGGAAAAGATATTATCTTTTAACGGGATCTTCAAGAAAATAGGGTGTAAATCAATGGGGGCATACTATGTATTTGATGTAAGCTGACAACTGACAGATTCAAAAACTTGAAAATCTAAGTAAATACGTCATTCTGATCCATCTGTCACTAGCATTTTATGTGAATGGTCACAATGATGTATTTCCCTCTGTGACCACTAGTTCTACCATTTATCAAGGATAGGGAAATGGACTCAATGATATTCACAGTCTATTACAATACTTACAGGTTATTTAAGCTTTGCATATTCTTCCATCCAGTTGTAAAATAACCTGACTCTAAATATTCGTTGAATATTTTTTATAGGCTCTGATCCTTTAGAGTCCTTATTTTGTTTAATCTTCATATGATTCAGAGACTTTTCTCTTAGTTTTGGGAATTGACAGTGTAGTCATTTGAACAGGAGGAACTCTGAACCAGAAATACCAACATCCATGAATATATTAAATACATCCTAATACACACACACACACACACACA